TCGTCAGCAAATTTTGCTGTAAGAGCATAGCGAGTTGGTTGTTCATTGTGATTAGCAATGGCAAATTAGCGGTTTTTGTATTTTTGGTATCTTAAGTTTTTTGGTTGGTTCTTTTTTCAGGGGCAAAAGGACAGCGTGCTCCTCCGAAGCAGAGGTGGGACGCTGGTAAGAAAATTTGAATTTTATTCCTTTTTTTGTAAATTACTCTAATTCTGACTATTTTCGTGACAGAAATATAGAGAAGAAGAAGAAGGAGAAGCACACACATTTGAATACTTTGAGTAATTTGAAGACTTACTCATAGAAAAAAATTCCCAAAACTCATTAACCTTTTCAAGAATGTAATTTCTATAAAAGAGTTATCATAAGATCATTGTAGAACTTTAACATATCTTGTTACACATTACCTCATCAACATTCTCCACATGAGATCCATCTTCAAATGTGATGCCATTCTCTGTGAACTCCCTAATATTTGGCTTTACTCGCACAGTTCCGCAGGCGATACGATTTGGGAGTTCATCATTGACTGTTGGATGTGCTCTGGAAATAGTCGGGATATAATAAAAGAAACACATTTTTCCATTGATTGAATGAGATCACCCTAGAACACGATGTTTCGGCTTCAATCCATAGCGTTCATGATCGAAACGCTGATTCATTTTCCTTTCAACCACTGTATTTACTAGCCATTCAGGGACGTAATGACGAGCATGATCGATGTACTTTCTAAGTTGGAAATTCACATAAATTTCAGCGAAAAAGCGCTAAAGCTAATTACCTGTGCACTACCATGTCGAATGGCTCTCCATAGTCAAATATTCGATTGCATACCCATGTTCCGCGTCGAGTTGCAAGGTACACCTATAAAATAGAAATAGATGAATCTAAGCGCTAATTTTTCAGAAGATTGGATCATGTAACCCACCTGCTTAGCAATTCTACTCAACTCTACAGCCAAATCACCGCCTGAGTTTCCCACCCCAACCACAACAACAGTTTTATCTTCGTAACCTTTATAGCACATTAAAGCAGAAGATGAGATCCACTAAAT